CACACCTGTCGATTCAGAACGGGAACTTGGACCTCGTTCACAGCTGGTTCATATTCAGAAGCTGAAACGAAGGAGTGGAATGCAAGACCGAGTCGGTAATTTCGATCATCGCGGGTGAATGTTTTAACCCTTTCAGGACGGGAGACATCTTTTGATGCTCTACACGGAGAAAAATAATTTGCTGATCTGGAGAAAAATGAGATTTTAAAATTTTCTGCAAAATCTTTTCGTTATTATATGGACAACAAAAAGATTTGCTAAGAGTACTAATCACTATTTGCTGGATATAATTTGCTGAATCTACAAATTATTTTGCTATAAAGACCATGATGGATTTATATAAGCAGTTGCAGTTTTGCTCCGCTTAGCAAATAAATTTGCTAAGGATACATTATTTTGTAAATTGTCAATAGTAAATTAACGTGATTCTTAGGACAAATACACTCAATAAATTTTTTCTATCCTAGCAACGAAACTACTTCTGCTCTGATAACGAATAATTTGTAAAATTAGTTATGTTAACTAAATTTTTTGATGTCACTATGAATATGCAGTAGCAACGATGATTTTGCTAAAAGAGCAAAATTATTTTTCTCCGTGTACGGCCTTCATGTATTTCAGAAACTATCGATCCAATATTCACAAAAATTGGTATGTAGAGATTTTTGGGATGCTCTTTCCAAATTTGAAGTAAAAAATGTAAAATTCAAAATGACAGATCAAATATGGTGATTTTCAAGATGCCAAATTATGTAAATATGACTCAATTTCCGTGGAACTGCATATTCTCTAAATTTGAAATCTTGACTGATTTCGATATACGAACCATTTTCGCAAGAGTGAGAATAAATGATCAGATGTGATCAAGTCGAGTCAGATCTAAAAATTTGTTTCCTTGGTCGGCATTTTGAATTTCAAATATTCGATTTCAGTTTTCAAAAAAGTATCTTTAAAAAGTTTCATAGTTCAAATTTCACGGAAATTGAGTGATATTTGTATTATTTATCATTTTTTTCGCCATCTTAGATCACAGAATTTTCAAAATCTAAGTTCAGATTCGGATTCAACGACCCTAAAAACCCACAGAATACGTACTTCCCTATAATTATCTCCTCGAGCAATTCCCCTGTCCTGAAAGGGTTAAACATGACATTCTTCCGAATCGCCGCAATACGTACAGTCGGTGTCGTTTTTCTTGCCCCATCCGATGACAGTACAGAGAGTGCCGGGTGCAAGATTGGTGGCAGCAGTGGGCAAGCACACCGGCCTCAGATGCTCGTGAAACTGAACTCGCTTTTCGAGCTGGGGAGCGAAGAGTTTCATGAAAAGACGATGTCGGGCGAAGTGAATAATATAATTCGGTAGCATTGCATGGAACAATTGTCTGAAATACTCGATTAAGGTAGAAGTGAACTTGCGCACTCACCTGGAACAATGCGACGTCGTTGTCGTGAGCAACACCCATGTTGTAATTCGGGTGAGGCACCACTCGCTTCACCTTCAGCTTCTGACCGAGATAGGTGTGAGAGTGTCTTCTGGTAATGCCCAACTGTATCGTCCAGCCGGACACGTCCGAATGACTGAAACTGCCGACGTCGAGTGAATCGATTCGCATTTAGACATTTCTCATTAGAATTTCAACTCTAATCTCATATCAGAGATTTCTGTTAATCACTAGTTGCGCCCAAAAGGGATAATTTGCCGCTTGACGTTTCTTTCGTGTGTATCTGCGAACTGGATAGAATTTCACGCCAATCACTTACTTTCCAACGCAATGGGACGCGGTGAGGACCCACTGATCGGCGATGAGAACTCCGGCGCAATAGAAGATCTGCTCGGGGCCGCCGAGGAGGGCCGCGAGAAACGGCCAATCACCAGGAGCTGACTCCACACCACCCACTATTCGCTTCTGAACTCTCAAGTTTCCATAAACGGAACGTCTGCGGCCGCAAGCTGCAGCAGAATCGATCGTCACACGTTGTAAAGTAGTCCCGAGAACTTTCGGGACAAGTTCGTGGGGCTTGATAAAATTTCCGAACGTTCGCCAAACAATAATAACACTTTACCGTATTCGGAGCAGGTAAGCTCGACCGTAGGATAGGTCTCATCCTTCCTGATGCATTCCTGAAATTTCCTTAGCAGAGTAGGACTTTTGCCGTGGTATAAGGGTCTGGTATGCTCGATCTGCGTTAAATTTGCTATCTTGCTATCCGTGATCAGTAACTTGCTGTTCACCGCGACCCTGAAGATACGTAGGAACATCGCGTTATCGCGCGAGGAAAGAACCGAACGAGATTTTAAGGTGCGGAGTGATGAAAAAGTGAGAAAACCTTGAATTCAAAGCTGTAAAATGTAAAGCAATGAAAAGACATTGCGAAATGCGCACGTTCCTCTGAGAGAGCGACTCCCGATCGTGCCGATAAAAATTGAGGCACGACGACACACGCAAGGGAGCACGGAAACCAAATGCCATGCAATATTTATTCCCGGTATCGAACGGGCACATTAAGGCAGGGATCACTTACATATATCCCAGCATAGCGCAGATCGTTTGCGCCGACGTTTCCTCCCAGTGCGAGATGCAAGCCGGCATAAATTGGCCCTTTTCAGCGTGGTAAACCTCCAGGCGACCCACTCCGATATCTCCGTTTTTCTGGCTCAATTTCACTGGAAGAAGAGGAGCGGGGGGGGGGAGGGGACGTTGAGTACAAGCTGATACTAGCCGAGTATACTGGCAAGTTTCACTTACAGCAGTAGCGCTCGTCCTGGCCCCAAGGACAGTCCATGACTCCGTTGCAGATGTGACTAGCCGACATGCATCTTCTTTCGCCGCAGTGGTACGAGTGCTTAGAGGAGATGCCTTTCGCCGAGGGTGACTTGATGATCTTGCCAAACGTGTTGGACACCGACACCGACGTCGGGGCCGACTGGCCGGAGGAGCCGCACTCGCACTCGGTCTCGTCGCTGTGATCGGCACAATCGATGTGGCCGTCGCATCGCCAATCGAACGGTATGCACCTCGTGCCGTCGCACTGAAAGCCGCTGGTACATACTGCGCGAACCGCAGTCGGATCGTTGTGATATATTATGTATACTCCAGGAGCACCTTTGTCTATTGTGTTATTATACAAGGTGTTCGGTAACTTACGGAGGCGTGCAGGCGGATTAGATCAAACAAGAAATTCTTCCCTACCATTTTACCACATAAAGTTTTTAGATGAGTAGGATTCTTTAATTTTTAAACACTTTCCTCTAGATTTCTCAAACGTTTTTCTGAACGATATTCTTGTTTCATTTCGAAAAAACCTTTACTGAAACATCCTGTATAAAATCACAAGTGATTTCATCGATTGATACGTAATCATGCATGTAATCATGAATAATTTCATCGATTGATGGATTAATTAAACTTTGACGTGACTGATTATATACTGTCCAATAATTGATTCCGTTGATCGATTAAATTATTCGTGATTACACATATGGTGATTGATGATACAATTTTGATTATCGGTTTGCCGATTATTCTGGTCAGAGAAAATTTTAATCAACGCATGCTCGACACTACATGAAACATTACAAAATTTACAATGCCAACAATTAATATGTAGAACATTCGCCATATTTAGGAAGTTGTTTACAGATACAGTGTTGAATGAAAATTGTGTGGGAATAGGAAAGTGATCAGCGTTGTGAAGGGAACGTCTTCCCTTTTCCATTATCCGTCTCGCAATAAATTCACAAACGAAACGCACATGGAGTAGTGACCCCGCAACTTCCCGAGAATTTTAATGTTACTTTGACGCTCTTAAGGATAGTTTAAGGATAGCGCCTACTTAGACGATTTATAGCCTAGATAAAACCTACTTTGACGATATTGATACTCATTAACTTCTCTTTTGAATCTTTAACTCTATCTTGTCAAAATTTTGACGCTACTTTGACGCTCTTAAAAATAGTTTGAGCCTACTTAGATAATCTACAACTTAGGTGAACCTATTTTGATAATATTAACACTCATTTACGAGTCGAAATTTTGACTCTATGTTGAACCTTGAATTCTCCGCAGTAGGAGCTAAGATAGTAAAGTAGGTTTAATTAATTAAACCTACTTTGCTATCTTAGCTCCTATTGCGGTGTAGAATTTCAAAGTTCAACGTTGGGTCAAAATTTCGACTCGGGTTTTGCCCCCGGGGTCTCCGCAGTGTATTAGATTTTCAGATACATTATTATGCCGACCGATATACAGGGTATCTCATTTTAAAAGATCCACCCTCATAATTCTTCAGCCAAGTATATTCAGCAGAAATGTTTCAGACAAAAGTTGTCGGGTTCAGAGGGGGACATCTGAAGGTTATTCGAAAACCAACTTTGCTTTTTAAATAGAAACATTTATTTTTTTTCTTACAGAATTTTATTCTACGTAAAGAAACTAACAACTTTTGTTTGTAAAATTTTTTTATACAACCTCTATTTTCTAAGGTATTTACGGAAATATATATAAAATTATTGGATTTAATAATTTTTTATTCGAATTCTATCAACTTTAGTGAAAAATAGCAAGAGATAAAAATTATCCATTTTCTTTTCGTAGAGCTGTGAGAATTTTTTCAGAATTTTGTAGTTAACTTTTTAGTACTGTATTTTCTTGCATTTTCTTGAAGTACTAAAAAGTTTATAAAAAATTTTCGGGGCTCTATGAGAAGAAAATAAACAATTTTTATCTCACCATTTTTCGGTAAAGTTGATAGAATTCGAGTAAAAAATTATGGAAACCAATAATTTTGTAGAAATTTCCGTAAATATCTTAGAAAATGGAGGTCGTATAAAAAATTTTTTCAAACAAAAGTTGTTAGTTTCTTTACATAGAATAAAATTCCGCAAGAAAAAAAATAAATGTTTCTATTTAAAAGCTTTTCTATTAAAAAGCAAAGTTGACTTTCGAATAACCTTCAGAATGAAGATATTTGGATTGAACTAAGGTATTTACGGAAATATATATAAAATTATTGGATTTAATAATTTTTTATTCGAATTCTATCAACTTTAGCGAAAAATAACAAGAGATAAAAATTATTCATTTTCTTTTCGTAGAGCTCTGAGAATTTAAATACCTTAGTTTAATCCAAAGTCAAAGTCAAGGTCACCTTCAGATGTCCCCCTCTGAACCCGACAACTTTTGTCTAAAACATATTTGGCTGAAGAATTATGAGGATGAATCTTTTAAAATGGGACAGTCTATATAACGAGGAGAACATAATTTCAAAATCGCGATTACGGAGACTTCCGCGGGGAAATGTACGGCGAACATTGTGCGGAGACGCGAATATTATCGGCACTCCGTGACATTATATCCTCCGCGATATGTCTTCTCGCAGGACGATCGACCCCGCGCGTGCTTGCGGTCGTAACCCGGTTCAATATTTTCACACATACGCGCGCCGAGCACGATATGTGTACACATTGCAAGCGAGGCGCGACTCAATAAAGCTGCTTGGCGCCGCAGATGGGCCGTCATACGATAGTTTAATATGGATTTTGCAATTAAGATTCCATCAGCGGTGACACATGCGGTCTATACAAAATCGCGATATCGCGATATCGGACGGTATGCGGACACACGCCACCTCCTCGCGTGCGTACAAGGTGTCGCTGAACTTCTTTCGCAATTACGACGTCCGCAGATGCTGCCACTCGAGCCGGCCTAATTTATTAGATTTCGATGGAATCTCGAGCGAGTCGCCCATCACAACGCTGTTTGCTCTTAATTAACCGCGGACGAATCGCACCTTATCGGCCGCTGCGGACCGGCGATCGTGAATTCAATTCATCGCGACGTATCCGCGAGCGGCACTTCCGATCAATCCCCCGTCGCTACGATTTACGTAATATTTGCTTTGGAAATTGCAGCCCGTGCACGATCATTTAATTCTCTTCTCTCCCTGTCTCTTTTTTTTCTCTCTCTCTCTCTCTCTCTCTCTCTCTTTCTCTCTTTCTCTATCTCGTCGCGGACCGGTCCAGGAGATTTTAAACGTCGTTACCGCGCGCGTTACGGCACGAGCGTGACTATCTTTCGAATTCAATGAACAGAGCTTTGGGAACTTTTAGAATTCAGCGATTTTTCTATCATCAGTTTCAGGACTATCGTATATCGACACCACCTCGACGATTTGAAAACTATTATACTAAAATAGTCTCTTTCTCTCTGTTGAGATACGTGTTGTTCAAATTAATTTATATCATCTAATCTCTGTCTTTCTATCTTTCTCCCCGTGTCTCCTTGGCGTAACGATGTGTGGATAATAAGCGGATTAGTCCGGCCGATCGATCGATTTAGGGAGTTTCACGAGAGGCTGCCAAACGACAATGGGAAATAGAACACAAGAGGAAGACAAACAAGGAGCATAAATGAGAATCCGAGATATCAAAGGAAGGACGAACAATGGATATCGGGTTAGTTGACAATTAGTTCCGTTTTACGAATACGCCCTATATTTAACGTCGTTCCGCGTGAATCGCCGCCGGGAGACAAAAGAACTGAAAACACATCAATAATATTATTCCCCGTTGTTTACGACGCAAAGATACCGCGCGGGGTCAAATATTTTGCGCAAACTCGTCGACGCGCCCCCAATGAGATTTCCATTTTTTCGCGAAGCAATTGTCCTGAGTAATAAACGCGTGTACGTTAGCATTCGAGATCGGAAAGAGGGTGAATGATGATCATTTGGCAAATAAACGATACGCGCGGAAGTGATTTTTCAATCGATCAATAATATTCTCGGCTGAAGATAGCGAAGAATAACACAAGATCGCGTTTCTCTCGTTTGCAGAACTGCTCGAATTCAATTTTCAAATTCATTATTGAAAGCGAGAAAGAAAATATAAAAGAGAGACAGACAGAAAGAGAGAGAACGAGGAGGGGGGAGTGAGAACCATCTTCGTATTCTATCGAATATATTCTCGGGATTGCTCAACTGTGCCAACGAGATTATTTTAATGCTTCAATTATCAGTTTCTCCATCAAGCGCCGGCTCGACAGACCCGCCCTTGTCAAAGTTATAATGTTCCTCGAGGGAGAATGATTGAACGATTTCAACGGTAAAATAATTGAAAGGCAAGCAAATCGACCAAAGAACCCGTGCGCTTTCTTTTCGCTTATGTTAATGCAGACATCGTCCAACCTCCGTGCGAGAGCGAGGTAACTTTCTAATTGACATCTGACCGAGATTCAATTAAACATTGAAGATGACAGCGGGGGAGGGGGAGTGGAAAGAAGTGCGAAGTGAGCCGTGTAAATGGAGCGCTTCAGTGGCGATAAGCGAGAGAGGAGGGAAACTTTTGAATTCGGTATCAACTTACCCGGATTCTCGGCCCTTTTCGCAGCCTCGATCACCTCGCGATGTCCGATGCACTCGTCGGGATTCGAATTCTCCGGGAAAAGTTCGCACTCGAGATAATCCGGTAGAGACAGGCCGAAAACTTCGAGGAAGAAGCCGCAGCGTCTCTTGGTCTCTGAAATTAATCGAGGGAGAATTCGCCCGCGATGCACTGCGATCGGGGAATATCAAGCAGCGCGGAAGCGCCGGCGATCGCCGGATATTCAAAGTTGCGGGGGAATACGGCGATTCAGCCGCGAACGGCCACTCTACAAAGGTTTTACCATACATTTACATACCGCGAGCAGGCGGGACACCGAGCATTATTAAAATTCACCGATATTAACCCGCCGTAAATGTAACCACGCGTGTCTCGCGCGTCTCGCGCGTCTTTCTTTTCAATCTCCCCGCCGACTCGACACGCGCGTTGCGCAGAATTCGCAAGAAATTCGGATTAACGCTAGAGTAGGCGAGGAGAGGCGACTTTTGTCAATTAATTTGGGGCGAGCTGATTTCTGCCAATGAGGGAAATGCAAAGTGGCGAACGATGTCGCGCATGAAACACACACACACACACACATACATCGGCAGAGAAACTAAAGGGAACCAAATTACCCAGATGAAACGAACTCACGGGAGCAGAGACTGCGGCATGGACGCACGACATGACCCTGGGGTCCGCATTTCGGCACGAAAACGCTACATAGGAACAGAGCAGCCAGTTCGTAACATCTGACGTCGACGACGGCGTCGTAAAGCTCCAGCTCGTGCTGGGCCTCCCGCTGTCCGAAATTGCCCATGTAATTTGGAAACACGGTATAGTTGTACGGGATCTGCAATTGAAATGAGATTTTCATGGGCACGTGATACCAACGGGGGCTGGCCGCGTAACGTTGCACTTGAGAGCGTAACTAAAATTATCTAACTTATATTCTTGTCGTTTAAATTATATTACAGCCAGAGTTGGCTAAAATTATGGTTACACTTGGCCCCAACCATCTTCTTCGTAATAGCAAATGATAATAGTAACATGCATATAAGGTTATTATCACTAACATTATGACAGTAACATTATGGCAGAATTTAATTTACAAGAAGTGCTGTTCTTGAGCATCATTCATAATAATTATTTCTCCATGTGATTACAGTTGCATGTATCAAATATTTTTTCTCAATATATACGGAACAAACAGTATGATGGGCCGGCATACGAATCTGGTTGTACCGATCAAGTTTGACAGCAAAATACGAAGCAACTGATTATGTGATTGCTGCAACCGTAGAGCAATGGTTGAGTTACAATATCCGGTTGGCTCTAACCAGAGTATCCATAAGTGTCACTCCAACCGACTTCTGATCGCCACAACCAGATCACGCGCAACTACATTGATGCAGGTGGCGCAACAAAGTAACTGACAAGTAAATCTACCCAAAAGTTACACTCCAATTTCTTTCTAATTTGGCACAAATGTAAAAGTACAAAAAATATTTAGATCATATTTTTTCATTTTGGCCCATTTTGAGTTTCACGGGCAGTTTATAGCTTTTTAATGTTCTCACTTTTATCATCAACAAGTGCAACAAAACTGCATAAGAAATAAAATTGAATACAAGATATAGGCGTTTTTGGTTTGCTGATTATGAATATGAAGTTAAATGTGTAAAATTATTTATATAAATAATAAAATGTTTAGACAAAACATGTAAAAAGTTGAAAAAATTATATAAATAATTACTCGTATAATAATTATTCGTATAATAATTACTTATATAAATAATTTCTCGGTTTGGCCGAGATTCGAATCATTTTTGATTAATTTAGCACAGATTTGAAATATTTTGGTTGGAATCTCGGCTGAAGAAATTTAGAATGATTCGTGTCTCAGCTATGCCGATTTTGTTAAGATTATTTAACTATATCTTGTATTCAATTTCTTATGCAGTTTTGTTGCACTTGCTGATGATAGGAGTTTTGTTGCACTTGCTGATGATAGGAGTGAGAACATTAAAAAGCTACAAACTGCCCGTGAAAAAAAGATTTGAATTAACCAAATATCTGGTCGAATATAAACGATTCAGAAATTCCGATTGAAGTAACCCGAATTCTGTTTAAGTTAACAAGATTTTTGGTAGACTAACCAAACATGTTTGGTTATTTTAACCAGACATGTCTGGTTCGACCAGATATTTGGTTAATTCAACCAAATCTTTTTTTTCCGTGTACATTTGTGCCAAATTAGAAAGAGAGAATGTCGGAATGTACCTTTTGGATAGGTTTGTGAGTCATTTCAACTATACACATTGCCACCAGAGGTAACTAAGGTGATGCAACTGTGTGCTGCTCACAAATAAATGTCTCCGGTTGTAATCGCGAACGATCGTTGTTACCAATGTATGAAATCCAGCCAGCGCTGGTAGCGCAACACCCTTGCGATTTTCGTTTCGGTGCCTCTCGGAACCCTCGAGATGCTCAGACACGTTCGTTTCCGGGACGCATGGCTGCACGACGAGCGCCTTATGAATTTTAAAACGCGTCGCGTGAACGCCCGAGTCGCCGGAGCCGGGAAAAGCAACGTGAAATGTATTCCCGAGGCGGACACGAGTTGAAATTACGACTGTCGACCGCCTGTTTCTAATGCCCCACGATGACGCTTCCCTGGCCGCGGAAAGAGGCGCGGAAAAGGTAACGTTGTCGCCCTCACTCACGGCTCTCGGTCGCGGAGCTACATGCCAGAACGAATTTCCCGGAAAGTATGTTACCCATGCACATTCCGTAGAGAGCTTGTTCTGCATTCTTTCAAGGTGAACGAACTTCCCTGCGGAGAGTAAGTATTGCGGACTTTATCGATTACGTTCCGCGCGAGCTGTTAAAAAGAGTTGAACGTCCCGTCGTCTCATGAAAACGCGCATTATAGGTTCCAGAGAGAATGAGAGAGAGGGTGTCCTCTCCTTTCTGCAATATCTATATACATGGGCGCGAAAATGAACGTTAATATTTTGTTATGGCAACCATATTTAGGCAAATGATACCATCAGTGTTTTCTCCGTGTAATTATACGATCTCATCGCGAATTGTTACCTTGTGGTGTTGACAAAAGTTCACGATGATAGGCAGGCACACTCCCGGGGCCGGATTCTTGTCCTCCGTTAGCAATTGCACGCGTTCAGACATCGGTATCAGACTCCAATAAGCGGTTCTGTTCTCCAGCTTCAGGTCGGGATACGCTGACGACAGAAAGGAGTCCTCAAGCACGTTTGCTTAGCCGTGCGTTTGATCGGGTCTGCCGAAACGACATCCGAGCGACATCGCTCTCCGCGTGCGAATCTGCGAATTCATCGCGGCGAGAGAATATCGATACGCGACTGTTTTCAGTCGTGCTCGGGCGAGTCTGGCGCGAGTCGCGAGAGAGGTAGATGCATTCCGAACTTTCGTAATTATTAGCGTGTCAGCCGCAGACACGCGACGGCACTCGACGCGCTCTGCAACGTTCTCAATTATCATCGCCTCCCCGACGACCGTTGTTACGCTAACTTCAGGCGGTGACGTAACCATTTTGGGAGACGGCAGTATCGCGAAACTATTGTCTCGGCCATCTTCCCGCGCGAAATTCAATGCGTGAGCGCGAATTTATGATTGGACGCGAGAAAGAGAAATAGACAGGCAGATAATTGCGCTTATTAGCGATCTAAGCCTTCTAAGAGAGCGTGCGCAAGAAGCTCTTTGAGATGCACTGCTCTCTGAATGTGTTGGATTGAAATTTCACGCGAAACCGAGCGACTCCTCGTTAATGCCGAGTGAATTCCTCACTCTTACTCGTTCGGTGAATATCTTCACTCGAAATCGAAGAGCGAGTCTGACGCACTTCACCGTCACAGCGATACTCACTCTAATTAACTGAAGCGTTTACTCACACGGAGTCAGGATTCACTCCAAGCTTGAGTGAAACATCCACCCTTGCGATTTTGAGTGACGGCGCCGTCACTATTATCTCGAATGAGCTTTTTCAGTGCGATTCCGTTCCAAGAAATTTAGAGAGTGAATAAAAATAAAATTCAGGAAAAGGACAAGAGAAATTAAACTGAAATTACGTAGGATTGAGTAATTACGTAGTACTGAAATTACGTAGATGATAGAGGGAGGGAGGGAGAGAGATAGAGAGAGGGAGAGAGGGAGAGAGGGGTACTCTGCAAGATTCCTGATACCGTGATACACGTGCACGCGTGTGCGCGAAAGCTTCACAGGGACTATCTTCTATTGGTCGCTAAGCTAATATTGATATTCGCCACCAAATGAATTGATCTGTCGGTCTCGCGTAAGCTCGGTGTTGCACATGCAAGCGTATTAAAGCGCTTAGAAAGAGATAGACAGATAGAGAGAGAGAGAGAGAGAGAGAGAGAGAGAGAGAGAGAGAAAGGGAAAGTAGAAGAGTGATGAATAACCGCTATTCATTTCGGCCGGATGGTCGGTGCCGGGTCGCTCGATGTGGCTTTCCAATTTTACTCACGCTGTTCGTTAAAAAGCAAAACGTGTTCTTTGGTTTGTTGTAGCGCTCGCACGCGCGCGTACACCTCTCGGCGGTGTTTAAATCGACTTATCAATTCTCGACGGTGCGATCACGCTCGTCGGTATCGCTCTCGTTAATTGCACGAGGAACTCTTCGATCGCGCAGCCGGATCTCCCCCTTCGAGCGAAACGCGAGAGGGGGAGGAGAGCGATGGCACTGACGCGATGTGGGTCCAATGTTAAACTCACTCTTGAAGTATGCGGCCAAACCGCCGGCGATGGCCAACAGAGCAACCGCGTTCAGCAGAACTTGCACGAATTTGAAACGCAGTCTACCCGTCGTCACGTAGTGGCTGCTAGTCATGTCCCTGATTATCTGGGACAGAGGACACACGAATAATGGAGAAAGCTTTGCTCCCGCGAACTTATCGCTAATTAAGTCATTTCTGGCTTCTTTCGACAAGAAAGCGCGATTGACATCCGCGTTCGCGTTTAAGCTCGAGGCTCACCTTGTGATGCAAGGAGCTGTTGTTCCCCGCGTGCATCCGGACGATAGTCTGCAAACTGGCCGGCGTGCTCGTGGACTTCGTTATCGGCCTGCCGGACGAGTTGTCGGGCTCCGACACCAAAGCTCTGTCTGGAAGGTGTGCGAGATCAATATCGATTTCTTTTCGCGAGAGCGCCAGTGAAGAGGTTTCGCGATTTCCTCGAGATGTAAATTTTCGAGGTTCGGGAGAAAATGTGCGAAGCGAGTCGCGGAGCGCGCTTCTTTTCGCAGAGTGCACCGCGGCGATGAATCGGAAAACTTCTTCTGCTTCTCTCAGTCGCTTCGAATGAACAACTTCAAGTATTGCACTGGAGAATAGAGAGAAAAAGAGAAGGGGGAGTGGGAGAAAAAATACAAGGAGAGACGAGAAGATGTGACAGAAGAGGAAAACTTTTGTCTCGCCTGTCGTTTATCTGTCGTTTTCAGGAGAAGCAACGTCTCGTCGAGTGTCGCGAGAGGCGCGAAATATAAGGAATTTTCAATTTATGAAATGCGCGTCTCTGTCCCTTTCTCTCTCTCTCTCTCTTCCTCTATCTATCTATTTATCTCTTCGTCACACTTCAAGCGTTATCATCGCGCTCGCTATCGCACTTTTTCGCGAACGTCTCTCTGGTAATGCGTGATAATGTGCTGTTTTAAGAGGATGCTGAAGTTAAAAACTTTACCGACAGAACACTGAAATTTTTCTGCAAAGTTTACGTCGTATTGGTTACACAGAATTACAAATGCTTTTACGCAATGAAAGTACGTGCAAAAGTAAATACAAGCATTGCTCAATATGTGATGAAAACGAACAAAAAATTTTTAATGTAAAATCTCAAGCTGTCAGCGTAATATTTGTCTAATTCAAAAATTCCGCAGGTTG